AGCAAGATATAGAAGGGTATTGAGAGATTAGGTGACTTTCAAATCAAAACTTTCAACCAGCTTTGATTCTCAAATACAGAACCTCCCTCTCCATCTTATGGATCTGCGAAGACCTCAATCTCTCAACTCTTTCATTGATATCGATTTTTTGATGATTTTGTAAAGAGTTTCATGAGGGTGTTTTAGAGAGCTCAGGAGGGTTTCAAGGAGGATGAGATAAGGTTTTCAGAGACGGGGGGAAATCTGAAAATTTGTCAAGCGCGAATTCACTTAAGCAGCCTTTTTTTAGCGTGTTTTAAAAGACAACGCTTGTTAATGAGAGATAAGGTTTTCAAAGACCGGGGAAAATTTGAAAATTTGTCGAGCGTGAATTCACTTAAGCGGCCTTTTTTTTAGCGTGTTTTAAAAGACGATGCTTTTTAAAAACAACCGTCGTCTTTACATATAATAGACGACCCTTTTTTTTAAAAACCGTCGTCTTTACATATAATAGACGACAGTTCTTTACATATAATAGACGACGGTTCTTTAAAAAAAAAGGGTCATCTTTACATATAATAGACGACAGTTCTTTCAAAAAAAATCGTTGTCTTTACAAAAAAAAAGCCACTTGATTTTTAAAAGACGATGCTTGTCACTAACAAGCATCGTCTTTTAAAAATCAAGTGACCTTTTTTTTGTTCAGCGTGTTTTAAAAGACGACGCTTGTTAGTGACAAGCATCGTCTTTTAAAAATAATCTAACGCTAGTAGTGTATAAGATGATATATCATGACGGTTTTAAAAATACTGTCGTCTTTTAAAACATAACGACGGTTTTAAGATGCACCGTTGTCTATTTTGTGTCGTGGTTTAACTATTTTGTAGTAGTGGAATTCGGAATCTAACTCTCCTCAATCCATATAGTTTAGTAAACAACTTCATTAGGAATCCGGAATCTAATTCTCCTCAATCCAACACCTCCTCAATTCAATTCATCCTCAATTCAATTCTGGATTAGTAAACATGTCATAGATGTTGACTACTGCACCAGCCAGTACAAGTGCCCTGTGTTCCTCGAGGTCAATAATTGTAGTCCTTCTGATATTTTCAAAAACCCAATTAATAAAAATAAGCCAGCCAAGAAAAAATATAATTAAGACGACAAAACCAACCTACCATAAGGAAAAAAAAAATTAACGGCTAAAAGAACCCTTTTCCAAATTCTAATAACAAAAAAAAAAAAAAAATGAGGCTTACAATTATCATTAAAAAAATATATAGTTTTTTATGAGTTAAAAATAATTATTAGCATTCTAAAAAAAATTATTTTGCACTCATCTCTTACATAAACAAAAGGGGAAATTTTGTTAGGAATTGTGGATTAAAGACCATTATCACACACCAAAAAAGGGGTTGTTGAGGGTGTTCATATGGGGGTGGTAAATCTCCCTGAAGATAAAAACCCTCGCTTGAAAAAATAATATATTTAAAAATAAAAATAAAAACACGACAGTTACCAAAGAGAAACCCCACTAAAAGATATTTACTATAAAATGACACTAAATATATACATGGCAACCAAATAAATAAAACCCTTTCACTTAAAGAAAATTTGTTAAATATCTTTTTAATCATTGCATTTTAATTTGGAATATATTTTTGTCATTGTGTTTCGAGTTTAGCTCCTTTTTTTTTTTTGTCAACATTTAGAAGGGGGAGGGGGGAGGTGTCATTGGAGTTTCAACCTGAAACCATTAATATGCAGGCAAATACTCTTACCACTAAGTTATGGACCCGTTCGCTTGAGTTTAGCCAATTTAGTCAATCTATTATGCAAAGTTTGCATTTTCAGTTACTTCACATGAAAAAATATTTAAAACATGTGTTAACCAATTAAAATTAATATATATATATATATATATATATATATATATATATATATTATTTAAAAACTTGAGAACTTGAATTAATAACAAAAAACAAACCATTAAAAGATACAATCTACTATTTTGTCCTTGGATGTGGTGGGGTGCCCTTTTCATAAGAGCAGTCACCTCAAGTTGTCCTACAGTGTCCTTTTTGGGCACGTTTGGTGGGCCTCACTACCTTAGATTGTGCTAAATAGGACTTGAAGCCCGTGTTTGGTAAGATGGTGGTAAGATGGGGGACTAAGTTAAATGGGATTGTGGAGTCCAACAGTAAAAAAACCTCCTCACTCGCTCTCCTTATACGGAGAGCCTGAAATTTGGTTCGCAAAATAAGCCCTTCGCTATATTGAGAACACGCAACTCCGCCTCTCTCCCTCATTCGCAACTCCGCCTCTCTATCTAGTTCGCGTTCGCGACTCCACCTCTCCTTAGTTCAACATCGACTGCTCCCAGGCTAGTTTTTCGTGTCTCTTCCTTTTGATACCTCTCTTATTCCTTCTTCCACTTTTCTCATATGCTCTCTCAATCTGCATAATTTTTCATGGGTATTGCTTTTTCTTTGGGTGTTATTGAGAAATTTGATTGTTAGATTGTTTGCTGGGTTGTTATTTTCTATCTATCCTCTGTTTGGTTGCTGAGAATTTTAGGCAAGAAAAAGGAAAAATCTTCCATTTTTGTGTTTGGATCTGTGTGGGTTTGATGAAATAGATTGGGTTTGCTTGTTTGGATCTGTGTGGGTTTGATAAACTCCTGGTTTCTTTCATACCCATCTATTATTTGGGTTTTCTTCTCCTTGTTTCAATTTCATATCTGGGTTGGGATTTTTGGTGCTTGATGTGAGTTCAAGTCCCTCCAAGTCAAATTTGAGTGAGATTGTACAAAAATTTGTTGAAACATAATTTCGGGTTTAATTTAAAATTTTACTCTCTCTATTTATAA